TTAAAGCTCACAACCAGTGTCTAGGAGAGAGGTTTCCAGGCAAGTGCACCCATGGGACCTAAGTGAGGCTTCCACCAGCCGAGGAGCACTCATGTCGGCAACCACCAGCAGCTGGGAGGCAAGTAAGGCCCTCCCCTAGAGCCCCCAGAGGGAGTGTGAGCCTGCGGAAACCTTGACTTAACATCCAGCCCCAGAACTGAGAGAATAAATCCCTGGGGCTGTAAGCCACTGGCTTGCGGTAATTAGTTGTGGCAGCCCCAGGAGACAGTGCAGGCCCCAGCACAGCTTGGGGGCTGCAGGTGGAGGTGTATCAGGAAGTCCTTGCCAGAGGAGGAAACTTCATACTGTGTGCGTGGGGAGTGAGGAGTGCGACCAGGGGGAGGTAGCTTGTTATAAGGTTCCCATCCTGGGAACACATGTTCCATGTTTCATGGGCCCTGTTCTGGGGGCAAAATGTTTTCTTGCATAAGAGTTTTTGAGGAAGCAGGTGACCCCCACAAAGTCACAAACTGGCCATGTCAAGGGGTTTGACAAACCTGCCAGGAGATGCAGCTGCTGGGGTCACCAGACTGATTGTGACCTTGCTAAGACCAGGCAGCATGGGGAGGTCACTGATACCATGAGCAGACCTTCTCCTCAATACAAAACCAGCCTTGGCTTCAGGTGGGCACTGCAGGGAGGACAGGGAGGGGTGCAGAGGGGACTCTGTTGGCTTTTGAGTGGTGGACAGGTGGTGGTGGCTCCCCAAGGTGATGGACCCAGGAGGAGGAAGAAGAAAGGGGGCTTTGTTCTCCCTTGAAGAGCTGAGTTGGAGGTGACCCGGGAGGCAGCCAGTCCGAGGGCTGTGCGCACAGTTGGTCTGCTCAGACAGGGGCAGCTGTCAGGGAGACGCCACCAAAGCAAGCAGGACTTAGCAGGCCAGAGGCAGACAGGCAGGAATCCACCATGTTCTCTAAGTCAGAGATAAAAGAATCTCCAGAGGCTTTGGGGAGTCAACAGCATCACACCTCACAGAGATGACTGATTGAATTTAAATTTGAAAAGTCATCCTCTCGAGAAACATCTGTTTTACAAAAGAAAAAAGGGATGTTATTAAAGGTAGAGTGAAAATTTCAGAGTGATCCTTGGTTGCTGTAAGACTAGAAACATGGGCAGGCCATGCAGGTCCCACAGGTGGGAGTCAGGTGTCCTCCAGGCTTCTGACACCAGTGGCCCAGCTTGGAGGGAAGGGGGCTCCAAGCTCGGCATCCACACGTCCTTGATGGATTGGTCATTAGGCAGTACCCAGTGGTACTTGTCTGCTGGCTCTGTGGAGACAGCCCCCGGCCTGGGCGACAGGCTGGGCTTCATCTGTGCGCGGCTGGCTCATCTCCACATAGGCTGGGTTTTCCTGGATTTTGCGGGAATCTTGACCTTGAGACATTGCCATGTTTCCCTTGGACCTCTGCTGGGGCTCTGTCCCCTCCTCCTGCCCCCTTCTACTTTTGTCTAAATTCACACAGGGACAAGGCCATTTAAGTGTCTTCTCCCCCCACCCCCCCACTCCCAGTTGCTTGGCTGGAAGATCCCTGGGAGGTGCTTTAGGGCAGCACAGCTGTGACTTCCTGTTAGAGTCCCAGGGAGGAAAGAGCGTCTCCCACCTTTGCCTCTCAGCCTGGGGCCTCGCCGCCCATGCTGTCTCACTTCCTCCCAGCCGGCTTTGTTGATGTCCTCGGGTTGGTTTACAGAAAGCACGGCCTGTGGCGGAGACTGAGGGTATGTGGGGGTGGGGACGCCCCTTCAGGAACAGCCCACGGGCAGGTGAGGAAGGCTTCACAAGGAGGAAAAGGGCCCAGCCTCTGGCCTTTGGTGTATGCTCTAGAGCAGATACCTGTTAGGGCTTTTTGTCCACAGTTCAGAATCATTCTCAGAGGAGGGGGAGCCAGGAGATACTGATAGTGACCTCCTAAGAGCAGCGTCCCCCAGCACAGGGGACCTGAGCCGGGCACAACAGCGCCAGCTCCCTATCTCCATTTCATAGGTGGGAAACCATATCAATGGGGTTAAGTGAATTATACAGATCACACAGCTCTCATTTGAACTTGGGTTACAGTATTATTATTACTGGTATTTATCCTGCACTGCTCAGGGTCTGCACCCGCTGCCAGTTCGTTTTAACCAGGGCGATTTCTTGCAGTGACCATTTTACTGTTTTTGTAGGTCCCCCCCCTCCTTTTTTAAAAATGTGGTTCAGAGGCTTTCGATTCCTTTCCATAAACTTTACATTCTAAGTGCTTCTTCATATTGCTATATGAACGACATTATTTTAAAGACCCCACATTCCAACCAATGCATCTACCTGAATCTCCCCAATCAGACTGTGGTGGGCGAGAAAAATCCCCAAAGATCTCGTGTGTCCTAGTCCTGGGAACTGTGAATTCATGACCTTCTGTGACAAAAGGGCAGATGTGATGGGATCAACAACCTTGAGATGGAGAGGGTACCTGGATTATCAGGTGGGCTCGATCAGATCCACAGTCCTCGTTAGGGGGAGGCAGGAGAGCTGAGGCAGAGAAGGAGTTGCCACAGTGGAAACAGAGGCTGGAGGACGTGGCAGCTGATGGCAGGGAAGAGGATCCCCCTGGAGCCTTCAGAAAGGAGCACGGCCCTGTTGACACCTTGGTATTAGCCGGTGGGACCTCTGTTGGGCTCCCGATCTTCAGCACTGCAGGACCATGCCCGTGTGCTGTGATCGCTGGTTCCAGCAGCCACAGGAAACACACATGGCTCCTGATGAACCGAGTGTGGCCGTTTCCTTCCTCTCTGCTCCTGATGAATCGCATCCCAGTAGCGAGTGCTCACTGCACAGTGTTAGGTTCTGCACATGGCACCCAGGGCCGGTCGGTTGCTTCACTTAATCATTCTCAGTAACATATGATGGAGACCCGTCACTATCTACACCTCAGTGCGAGGAACTAGGCTTGATTGTAACTTGCCCAAAGCCACACACGTGACTACTTGTGCCCTGGGAGGGCTGCCCTGACCGTGAACATTAACACCTGCAACTGGTGCCCTTCGTGGAACGCTGGCCTCGTGCCCCATCTCTGCCCAGAGCTTTCAAATGGTTCCTCAGCACACTGAGGGACAGGCTGCATTTTTGCAGGCAGTGTTATTGTTTGCATTTTATGGATGAAGAGGCTCAGAGAGGGCACTTAGCTCATTTACTGAAGGTCAGCTCAGGTCTGAGCTGGATCAGACCCAGACCTGTCTGGGCCCAAAGGCTGTGCAGACTCTGAAGTCCTTACCCATGCACAATGGCACAAAACCAGAGCCAGATGGTTTCTGTCTCCTTCAGCTTTACTGCCAGTTCAAGACACAGGGACTGTGCACAGGAATCCCTGAGACCTGGAAGGTCTCCGACGTGTGCTTTTCACGAAAGCAATCTGGACACATCCTCCTGGATGACCGTCTCCCTCCCTCCCTGACAGCCACAGATGGAACAGTAACCACACATCTAGGCTAGCGCTGACAGACCCAAGGACAAAGTGAGTCAGCCAGGCTTTGAATGGAACAATGGTGACCCTTTAAATTCTCTCCATCCATGACCTGACCCCTTAGCAAACCTACCAACTTGAAAATGCTGTAGCATATCATTTTTTTCCATAAAATGCTTTAAATTCTGTCTAAAACTGCTAATAAACCTTCTCTTTTTTGGTCATGGGGTCTCGCCTTGATGTCCAGGCTGACCTCCATTTTGCAGTCCTCTGTCTCAGCCTCCCAGGAGCTGTGTTTACAGGCGCACGCGGCCACCCCAGCTCCTGATGTAGGGCTCCAGTGTAGAGGCCACTCCCTGAAACCTCCTCTTCCTCATGCCGGCACCAGCAGTTGGAGGCCATCATTGTAGCCTTCTGAACAACCACTTTCTCCTTGTGGAGGCGAAAGACGACCATGGGGTGTGGGGACTGGGCCTCCAGCCCTGTTCAGACTCCTCCCTGCATGGGGCTTCCTGTCTGGCTCACACTCCCACAGGAGCAGTCTGGCCAACATCGCGTGACATCTTCCGGGTTGTTGTTGCTCAGGGCGGGTAGCTAAGGTTGGCTCTGTCTTGCCTGAGGCCCCAGCAGAGTTGGAAATCTGACTTCTGTTCCAGAGTGCTTCTCCCCACCCCCCCACCCCCATGTCTACTCAGGGCTGCAGGAGTCAGGAGTGCAGATTTATGGGAAAGGAAGTTTAGGCTGAGAAGCTTTGGAGCTGCATCCATGTTGAGCTGTCCTGGTAGAAATGCTTGTGGGGTTGCACACACACACACGTCTCATGGCACTCTCCAAAGTCATCTACAGATGCCCTAGAAGGGTTTTAATAGCAGTGTCTGAGTCACGTGGCCCCTGCAATTATGGTAGCATTAAGAGATTGGATGGAGGTTGGTCTTGTATTTCTACCTTCTTTTTTTTTTTTTTTTTCTTTTTTGGTACCAAGGATTGAACCTGGGGCATTTAACCAGTAAGCCACATTCCCACCCCACCCCCACCTCCTTTTTAACATGTTTTATTTAGAGACAGACTCTTGCTGAATTGCTTAGGGCCTCACTAAGTTGCTGAGGCTGGCTTTGAACTCACAATCCTCCTGCCTCAGTCTCCTGGATCGCCAGGATTTTTCTTCCTTGTGAACTCCAGTGGTGCTGGGCAATCTGGAGGTGTGATTTTCTCTTCTGCTGGCCATAAACTCAGGATGCTGGAGGACGTGATAGAGCTATTCTGACTATGATACATAAACAGCTGTGGGGGGAAGAAATCTTGCAGTCTAACAAACCAAATAATAATGGACTGTGAGATTGTAAATGGAAAGGAGACGGATACATGAGGGAATATACAAAACTTCCTCACGGGTTGGAATGTACTAGATTCACTGTGGGCTAGTATAAAATAGTAGGGCACATTAAATTTTATGGTAAAGTTAAAGTTATATATTCCATTTTATCCTTACATGTGCTAAATGTAGCAATATTATCTTCTTTTGTCTAGGACCAAGGGACAACCACTGCAGTCCTAACAATCCAATTGCCCTTCGGAATCTCCAATCAGATGTTCTAGAGAGGAAACCGGACTTCCCCAAGGTAACACGCGTTGGTGACTGGAGCTGTCAGCCAAGCACACTTGACTATGAAACGTGATCACTGGCCTCCTGGAGACGTGTCTGCATTTTAGTTTTGTTTAATCTAAACTTGAATTAATGCAGCACAGTAGTTAACCACCAAAGACTGAGAATTGCTACATGAGTGTGGACACTGTGTATTTAATAATCCTTTATAATCTTCACCAACAACTTTTAAGTTGGTGGTATCATAGAAGAATATGGTGATTGACCTCAATTTTAAAGCAAAATTAGTGTGTTAAAGAGAGAGAGAGAGTGTATGTGTGTGCTGGGATATTATTCTGTCTACCATTTTTTTTTTGAGATCAGGAAGAGATGCTTTGAAATCTAACAGGCTAGTATAGGTTGTTTCAACTACAGAACGTGTCAGTGGTGTGAAGCAGGAAAGAAAATTCGGGGTCATATTTAGACAACAAAACATTTCAGATTCCAAAGAACAAAGAGCTCTGCACACAGTGGTTAATATTGTCACCTTATCACATGCCACACCATCTAATCAACTGACTCACTTAATCCCTCTGCCAACACTGGGAGGCAGACAGTGTTGTACCCATTTTGCAGATGAGAAAACAAAGCTTCACCATTTAACTTGTCCCAAATCTTGTTCTCCTAAGCTGTCTGGCTCCGGGCTTCTGTTCTTAACTTGCTCTGCAGGATTGTCACATAGGAAGGCTTGTTCCTGTTAACAGAACATAAAAGTATGCATGGTCTCACCTTAGAGACCTGTCCCAGGTGTTACAGTTTACAAGACATCTGCTGTCTGTCACAAATCGATACTCTGTTGCCAACTTTTGTAATTTTAAGAGAAAAAGAATCATAAAATCATCCTATGATCGCAGATTCAACTAATAAACATATTTGTTAAAATGTTTTTTTTTTCCCCAAAATACTTGGCTCAAATATCACTTTGATTTAGCTCTGCATTTAATAAAGCTCAACATGTCCCTCAGGGACCACGGGCCCCAAATCCCACAATATGGAAAAAGGATGCTACTTGGGTCCTGATATTCAGTCATGGACATGAACGTCTTCCTGCAGGAAGCGCTGAGCTCACCGTCTCAGAATGTAAACGTGCCACTGCCATTGACTTGTTTCCGGGGAACAGGAGCAGGATCCCCGACTGAGGAAGGAAAATGAGGAGGAGGAGCAGCAGATCCTTGAGAGCCTGGCTGGGAAGAGATGCCGGGAGGGGCGGGATCGAGGGTGGGCAGGGGCACTGCTGAGATGGATGTTTGCTCTTTTATTAAAAGAAAGATGCCGGCTGATCATCTTTCCCACCTGCCTTTCACATCAGGCTGGCAGATTTTAGTATTTTCTTGTTGGTGTCAAAATGAATCAGCTTCTGGTCATTAATGATGATGTAGCTCTTTGGAGCCATGGGGCTGGATCCCTGGAGCACACACTTGAACCAGCACAGGGCCATCCATGACCCAGCTGGGTCCCGGAAACCATGCCTTCTAAACGCCTACCCTGGAAGGACCTGGATCATCTAATTTGATGGGTAGTGTGACTTTCAAGTTTCCCTCCTAACTTTGAGCCTTTAAAGCTTATGCCTGTGCATGTCAGAAGGTGGCTGTGGGATGATAGAACACGCCAGCAGATGCCCTGCCTGGGCAAGTGCCATCAGTCTCTGCCTCTCTCCAGAGCCTGCGCAAGATTGATGGCTTTCCCTTCCACAATGCATCAGAGCCACGGCAATGATAGGAAGGCACCTCTTCTGCCAAGTGCTTATTTAAAAGGAGTGAAATATGGAGACCAGTCGTCTTCTAAAAATTTTTTAACTTTTCCTGGTAATAAAATGACAACTCTGCAAACTTAGGAAAATACAGACATACATAAATAAGGAAATATATGTGTGTATGACATTTCCTTATTTTCCCCATGTTTGTTTTGACAAAAGTCTGAGACTATAATGTATATCGATTTCCATAGCTGTCTTTTATTGCAAAACAATTTTCCATGGCATTTAAATTATTGATAATTTTTATTTTTAATTGATGCTAGCTGTAAGTTGCAGTTGTGGGTACCAGGATTTACCTTTTAAGAGGCATTTTTCTTGATGCTTTCCAGGACCTGTGATGTGGAGGGAATGGGGAGTTTTTGTTTAACACATACAAGTTTTAATTTTATAAGATAAAAAGATTTCTGGAGATGAGTGTAGTGATGGCTGTCACCAAAATAAATGAACACTTAAACATGGTTAAGATGGAAAATTGTATTTGTACCACAGTGAAAATATTGGCGGGGGGAATTCTCACCAGCTTTCCATTGCTGTCTATCATGCAGTTTTTAGTCTGTAGTAACTGCATGGAAAGACGATGTTCACCATGAGGAGTGAGGAGAGCTTGGATTTTTCCATTCATCTCAAAGTTGTGTTTCCCCATTGCTTCTTACCAGAGTGGACACACTCATCTGAAACGCTCTTACATTCTGGATGAAATGCTGCTAGGTTGCTGAATTACCTAGTATGATTCTAGGTTCACCCTGCAGGGCCAAGCCAGTTTGCAGCAGGTGTGGGGGTAACTGCTGCAGAGTACCTGTGGGGAGATGTATCCAGAGAATCTGTATGGGAAAGACATTGTAGGTTGCAGAGCAGCAGTGGAAAAGTAAAGAATTGTATCATGGAGAAAAATACAGATTTCAAAGGTACAGATCGGATTAGATGCTTATCTTTTGGAGAAATAAATTGCTACAGGAATAGAGGCATCCTCACTCCAGTGCCTCAGGATCTGATTTCTCTGATCACCCACCTCTTATCTCTTTCTTATTTCAATTTATGAAATGTTGCCCTTCTTAGTAATATGCCTTATGGCATAAATATAAAGTTAAAAGCGGTCAATAAAAAGCATAAAACTATGAAAGCAGTTACCAGCTCTACAAAATCATGTTTGAGACATTAAAAAAATCAATACTTAAAACAGCATCTATGAGAAAGAAAATGTAGAGCTGTGTTGGTCAGTGATGGTCAGGCAATGGATGGTTTGCTGAGGAAGCAAGACATTAAACCCGACTATTCATCTGACCTGTCTCCAACCTTGAATGTGCTACTTTAAATATGAGATGATTTTCTTCGTCCTTTCAAATCAAACCTTACATCAGTTAACTTTATTCTAGATGAAAGAAATCTCTCTACAAAGCCACGTTTAGTTAACCCAATCTAAAAAGCAGATGGAGTGTCACCCTGAAATAGCTTGATTTGGGAAGGTGCTTGCTATAAAAGATGGGACTACTTTTTAAATTTGCCCAGTTTTCAAAGTAGCAGGTGACTTAGGAACATCAACCACTCTTTCTCGTCTCTTTAATTTCCCAGACTCAAAATGATGTGTTATATTCTATGATGGGCTGAATCGGACCCCTCCTCCCAGTTCTCCTGGTCCTAACCCCCAGCACCTCAGAAAGTGATTGTGTTTGGTGATTGGAGTTTTTGAAGGGATAATTAAGTTAAAATGAGGCCATTTGGATGGGCCTGAACCCAATATGACTGATGGTCCTTAAAGAAAAGAGCCAGGGTATAGCTCAGTGGTAGATCACTTGCCTAACCTGTGCAAGGACCTGGGTTCAATTCTTGGTATTGTCGAGAGATAGATAGATAGATAGATAGATAGATAGATAGATAGATAGAGAGATAGATAGAGGAAGAATAGGATCCAAGTACAGGGGGAAGATGGCATGAGGCACTGGGAGGGGACAGCATCTGCAAGCCAAAGAGACAGGCCTCTGAAGAGCCCTGCAGGCACCTCGGTGTTGGACTCCCAGTCTCCAGACTGTGAGACAATAAATTGCTGCCATTTAGACCACAAGACTGGGGGTGTTGCTATAGCACCCCTAGCAAACCAATAAAAGTTTTAGGTGGTTGGATATTATCTTTGATTATTTAATGCATCTCAACAAGAAAATAGGAATGTGATGACTAAGAGTTATAAGAGGAGCATATATATTTAAGAGCAAAGAGTCCAAGGTTTCCTTTTTAATCTCTCTCAATTTATTTTCTGGGGCTCTTGTCAAACATAAGTGAAGTCTAAATCCTGGAAATACTCTGCCCTGATATTTGATCTCTTGTTCCATGTCACCTCCAGGCTGTTAACTCCATGAGACCAGGAGTGCCAGCAGGGCCCAGCATGGCACCTGGCATGTAGTAGGTGCTATAAGTATTTTTCAGAGGAGTAATAAACAAATGGACTAACCATGACTACACGCTATGGATAACAGATTTGGCACCTAAAAGCCGACTAACTCAACATTCCCAGTAATAACATTTCCATGTATTGGATATGTGCTGAAGTAGGGCCATTTGTGCAATTCAGATGAACCCCAGCGTACCCATCGCGCCCCTCTCTGGGATACAGCATAGTTTAGCGGAGCTGCCACCTCCCTCCGCTAGGTTTGCTTAGATCAGCCACTGGCTTCTGCTGAGTCATGGGAAAGGAAATTCCCTGGGTTGTAAGAGGCACTTCCTTTCTACCTGGTGTCTTTTCTGCTATCCCTGGGTTGTAAGAGGCACTTCCTTTCTACCTGGTGTCTTTTCTGCTATCCACACCTTCCCTGTGAGAAGAGAGGGCAAATAGTTTTGTTTTTTTTTTTCCTTTGAAATCGGGCTGTCATCAGTGTCACCCTGACATAGTGAAGGATTTTAGAGCTTCAGAAATTGGTTCAAATTCACACTGTTCATTATGGCTTTCACCTCTTTCTTTTGATAGAGTAAAAATCACAGTCACATTTGCCAGGTCCCAGGGAATGAAATGTGGCTCACTCCTGATTCAGTCCTCCCGGGTCCTTCCAGGGTAACCCTCAGGCCTGAGCTTCAGGCAGTCCCAGGGAAGCCTTCAGCAGTGCACCCCTGGGGAGCTCTCTGACTCAGCCCAAGAGTGGGGACAGGCTGGCATCAACAGTCAGGGTCTTTTCTGTCCTGGCTCCAAGCTGAGATGACATCTGCTCATCCTTAGCAACACACCTTGATATGGGAGGAGACTGCAGTGCAGGGAGGGCTCTGTCCACAGGCGTTGCACTGTGCGCCCCCACCCCCACCTCTAGAGCTGTGGAAAGCAAGGTAGTCCGTCTGAGGGCCCTTGGCTCTGGCTGGGTGACAGGTGGCCTAAGTAATTTCAGCCTCTTTTCCCCAGATTCACGTGGAAGAACCACCTGAGAACTGATAAGAATACACATTACATTACGGCCCTTATCCTTATAGGCCCTGATTCAACCTAAGCTAGGGAGGTTGGCACCCCCAAATCTGCAGCCCCCTCCCAAGGTGTTTTATTATGCAGGTAATCACTGGTGTAAACTTTGGGAAACTTAAGATCAATGCTGCAGTTTCTAAGATCAGTATTTGCTTTTTTCTCTAAAGACCAATGTCAAAGGAGTTCCCACTGGGTATGATTATACACTTCGTGGGGTGCACAGGAACAATTATTATCAGAGCTAAATTTAACTAAAATGGGAGGGACTGTGTACTGTCAAGTCAGCCCAGGTGCGCTTCAGTTTTCTGTATGTAAACCACGGCCCCAGGAAAGGTGCTCTGGAGAGGGGGGTGGGAGTGCTGCAGAATCAGAAGCTGGAATCATGCTGAGGGCTTAAAGAATCACTGATTCTTGCTCTTCTCCTAAAGCTCCCTCTCTCAGGGACTCTACTGTACTTGGGGATGAGGCTAGCCACTGGGGTCTTGCAATGTGGTTTCAGAAGTGCTGGGGAGGGGCCCTACCCACAATGGCTCCCAGGAGCCAGGCCTTAGAGACCCCCTCAAGGGACCCACAAGGTGCAGCCTTGAAGCAGGGAGTAGCAGTGAGACTCAAAGAGAGAGTTAGATATCCTCCTTCTTGTCTTAGAGCCAGAGATATTTTTTATTTTTGAAATAATGAAGATTCTAAATGACTTTTCTGTCTATTCTTTATTTGCCCATTTCCTGTCTTTTGAATTTGCAACTTCTCACACATCTTTAAAAATGTAAGTGTTCATAAGGTGGTCGAGACGCCATGAAGAGCAAGCTGATGACTGTCTTCCCTTACCCCTGGGGTTGCCAAGATCACACATGAGGGACCTCTGGTAGATGTGTGGACACGCAGGATCCAATGTCCAACTAGAGGAGAACTGTCAATTATTTGAGAAAATTAATCCTGCCCTGAACAAAACTGCTCTCCTGATGACTTACCACATCCTGGGCAAAGAGGTCCCCTCCTCTCACCAGAAGCGGGTCCTTCCCCTCCAAAAAGTGATCTCTTGACATGATTAGCAGCCTCATCGCTCACTCTGTGCTCCCCAGATTACTCTACATAAGAATCTTCAAGACTTGGGTTACGATGAAGATGCCTGGGCTCCGCCCACAACCCCAAAATCAGAATCTCTGAGCTGGGGAACCTGCAATTATAAATAAGACTGCTGGTGATTCTCATTCATGTTAGAATCTTGAGAACTGGTGCTTTATGTACTAAGCACCATAGTTATGCCTTCAGGCTCCAAGGCTAAAAAGATTCTCTACAAGCAGTGGGAACTTAGTAGTTACCAGTAGTTCTGGCCTCATGCAGTTTCTTTCAAGGGTTCATTTTAAGCACATGTAACAATGTCAAGTTGCTCAGGACTCTGTGTGCATTCACTAAATGCTAGGGTATGGTCAGACTGCCATGCCATTTTATGCAGTGCTTTATAAATAAACATGATAGAAACCAAATGAGGACAGAAGAGATGATTCTTCCTGGTCTCAGCCTGCTTAGGTGCTTTGTTAAAAATCATGGCATGCATACGCGCGCGCACACACACAAAATCATAGCACCTAGTTTTGTACACACCAGTGACTTATTGTTAGGACTTCCAATATGTGCTGAGTAGAAAGCATGAAATGCCGTGATCATTTTAAAACAGTGGACAAAAACCCATGCTTACGTTGAAATGCAAAACGTCAGTAAACAGAGAGCCAGTGAGTAGAGGTCTGAGGCAGGAGCTCGCAGAGGGAAACCCGGACCTCCAAAGCCCACACTGGAACCCAGCTTTACAAGAAAGTCACTCCTAGGAAAACCTATCATTGGGGCAGGTGCACCTGGGGACTGGCACATGTCCTTGGAGTAGCTCTCCTCTCTCCGATAAGTGAAATCACCTGATTATCACAGTGTTGGTCTGGGCAATTGTCAGAGCTTGGTCATTTGCTTTCCATCTTCTGTGTGCATTCAGGCACCTGTGATTCCAAGCAGCAGGGAGAGATTAGTGAATTACTGAATTACTGAATTTGTGTCTAAACCAGCAAAGGTAGAGGACAGTGCGAGAGATGGCGGTGGGCAGGAGCTCCCTGTAACCTCTCTTGCAGTTTCCATGCCTCAGTGCTGACCCATCACCCTCAAAACCTGCACCCCAAGCCCCACACAGCCCAACTCCAGAATTTGGTCTTCCCTCCTCACTGAGTCTGTTAACTCCTATCTGGGGATTCTTGGGTCTGGTAGAGTTGACTCTCAAAATCTCACCATCTCCACTGACAGAGTTCACGCTTAAATAAACTAAGACTCGACACCCCACTGAGAAAACCAAGCCACATCAGGCTAGCATTGGCAGAATATGTAGCTTTTTCATAAACAGATCTGGGTTTCCCACCCTCCCAAGCGCTCAGACAGGGCACAGTGTGCAGTGAGATTCTGTGGCCCTGGGAGTCCTGTCTGAATTACAATGAGCTACTTGAATAATCGGGATCTTCTTCTGTTTGCAGGAGGCTCTGGCAACGCAAAACTCAAAAATGATTTCATCCATAGTAATTTCGCAGCTGATTGATGAGAATAAACCAAGAGAACCCGGGGCCGCCTTACCCCTGCCATGTGCGATCGCTCAACCTCGAGCATGTCCCACCAAGCCAGCGTCCACGAACCGCAGCAGAGTCAGCATCCACAGGGCCTTGGCGTTACTGCCCGGCAAGCTGGGGGTCCATAGACGGTCACACGAGCGAGGATCGGAAGCTGAACTGTTGCCCGCTGCCGACCGAGGCCTCCGCAAGGGGTTCGCATCCATCACCATCACCGCCCGGCGTGTTCGCCCAGCAGCCAGTGCCCTGGTGTGGGGCACTGTTGGGGAGTCGCCGTGTCACAGGTGCAGGGCCGAGGACGCTCTGCTCGGGGTCCCATCGGCTGGTGCCCAGCCACATCAGCACCACGGACCTTTTGACTGCACAGAGTGCCCCAGAAACGGCTCGCTGATGAGGCTGAAGGTTCCCGAGGCCCGTGCTGGGCTGTGTGCGGGAAACGAGTACTGGGTCACCCACGTAGACCACAAAGAGAGAGGGTTTTCTGCAGACCCTCCGCCATCGGGAAAGACCCCGCTGGCATTCAGTTCCTGTGTCCACCTCCAGATGTCTCGGCAGTGTCAGAATTCCATCTACTACTTGGACAAGTCTCTGTCTGTCCCTGTTGAGCAACCTCAAATTGCAAGCCCCAAAGTGCACAGATCCGTCCTGTCACTCAACCTCAGTTGTAGTTCCCACGGGTTAACAGCAGATGGAGTAGACGGCCCAGCTAAGGGAGAGCCAATGAGCAGCAGCCTGAGGCAGGAGCTCGCAGAGGGAAACCTGGACCTCCAAAGCCCACACTGGAGCCCAGCTTTACAAGAAAGTCACTCCAAGGAAAACCTATCGTTGGGGCGGGTGCACCTGGGGACTGGCACATGTCCTTGGAGTAGCTCTCCTCTCTCCAAAAATATAGAACTTGCAGATGTTGGGACTAACCTGGACACTGTGAGAAAAGGGAAAGAGGACCACACGGATCCTTGCACCAGCAGTCACGCGGAGCAACTGGCCATTCACATTCCTGGCTGGAGTTACAAGGCAGGTGAGTGGTGCTGCCCTCTGCAGGAGAGCCTGGGGTATGAACGCCCTGCCTCGGGGATATTAAGTGAGCTGCTTCTACATCACTTAGTCTCAGAGGTGTTTTGCAGTAGGATTGGCTTTGACCCCTCTGCACCAAGGTGGCAACTGATACAGCTCATCTTTGACATCTAAGAGGATAGGTTTTTTATTTTAGATGAGACTTTGGTAGATATGAGACACCTCTCCTCAAATTCTTGTTGCTAACAATAGTGCCAGGATACATGCAAAGAATAGGGAGCGGCCCCCAAAGGAACCTAATTCAGACCATGCCTGCTCCACCTTCCAAAGTAAGGAGAAAAGAATAAAATACCATCCACGCCCAGATGTTTTATTCTCTGGAGTTAAACACCTGCATATTTGGGAGTGTCTAGAATTCTGCACTTTTTACTGTTCCATTACATAGTTGATATTTATGAATTAACTTCATAAATATCATAAAAACCCAGACCACAAAGCCCCATGATGGAGTGTGTGTGTGTGTGGGGGGGGGGGGGGGGGAACTATGGGACATTTTCTAAATGAGGAAGCCAGGGAATCTCCTTACCAAACAGCAGCAAAAGCAATTTCAGTCCCAGGTGCATCTTCTGGGGTAACTTGGCTGGATTCATTGCTGTTTCCAAGGCCAGGCAGGATGCTTGAGGTGGACTTCCCCGAGACCCTTCCCCTTTCTTTGGGAGATCAAGGGAAGAAGCAAGTCTATTTTGAAGGAAATTGGCCAGATTTCTTTCTCTCTGTATGCAAACTTCTGATTTTCAGCTTTACTTCTTAAGAGAGAGAGACTGGTTTATGAATTAGTGATTTTCCACTTGGGGAACTATTTAAAGATAATAATAGTAAAATTAAAAAAGGCAGCATATGCATAATAATTTTACGGTGCAAATTTTGTCCATTAAAGCTTTATTAATTAATAAAAAAATGACTGTAAAACATTTAGAACTATAATGTGTGTAGAAATGTTAAATGATGTAATTAATTTTAACAAGTGTGTATATATTGAATGTTCAGAGATTTTTTTAAAGCAATTTTGACATGGCTTTCAGATCGATTAAACCGTTGAAATGCCTCTGAGTCTTACAGACTTACTGCAAGAAGGAGAACGTATGCCGCCGTCCATGTTCCAAAGATAAACCCACTTTAGTATTTAAAGAAATTGCTCGTGCTAAGCACTTCATCTTCCTTATTGATGAAGATACCAGAAATAGACAACCTGCACTGTCACGTGCTGCCCCGGTGGAAGCACATCCTTGTCTCGGTAGTGTGTCTCATGATGGGAAATAATAATTTAGATTTATAGCACTTTTCACCAAAGGATCTTTAAAAATAACCAGAGCCAGATCTCCAGCATTCATCTCAGGGCAGAGGAGCGAGAGCAGAGACAATCCCCCACTTATTTCTGGCTTTGGTGCAGAGGTTTTGATCGTGACTTTGTGAAATGGTTGGTTCTCCAGGGGGTTTTCTTAGCAAATCGTGTGAGTTAACTCTGTTTCCCATGGACCGACATCTCTCAGAATAACTGCATATCCTGAAGATTCACTTCTGGGGACTCTTGAATGGCTCTAAATTGTGTGGCCTCATTCTGCCATGTAAGGAAAGATTCACAGAGGCCAGGGGAGCTGTGGGTTCCTTCTTTGAGAGTTGTCAGTCTCCCGTTTCCTGGCTCAGTGGGCTGGACCAGCAGTACTTACTCCCTGGGTAACAAGAGCAGGAGGTGGGCTGTGTGTTCTTGAAGATCTTCAAGCTTAAAGAATTTTTGCTCTATTTGCTGGAGGTGGCAACTCTGAGGGGAAGAGACCCCATGTGCCTCCGGGCCCCTCCTTCATAATGTCCAAAGCTACAGAGTCTTGGGGCCCACCACTGGGACATGTGCCCCCAACACCTAACAAAAGTGTGCACACACACATAGGCACCCTTGAGTTTGAGAATGTTCTCACTCAGAAACTTATTTTCTCAGAGGACAAAAAAGAACTTGGTCCACACTGTAGAATTCTTGACTCTGAAGACCACCGTCTATCCCGGCCTGACCTACACAGTGTTTCCAAGGCGAGTGTGCTGACATTAAGTCTTAAAGCTTTTTAGCCTTGATGCAAGTGCTTTCGGACCCTGGCCAAGCTCATTAAAGCTCAGAGGAACTATTTGTATTTTCCTTCCTGAAACCAGAATTTCATCCAAGGCATCCTTGATGGCCTCTCGTGGTGACACATGCTATTAGCCATCTTCGTACTTCATAGTCACTGAATCTGATTCCTTTTATCTGAAGGATTGAAAACACCTCCTGAGCAGGGCCTTTTCTCGGCCCTGGTAACTGGCGTTCAGTTGCTTCATAGGTACCACCTGGGAGATTCTACCAACAGGCTGGGCAATTTTATTTCTCATCGTCATGGCACTGGGCAGAAAGTCTTGCAGAGTGTGTCTTGATGAGTCTCCAGGACATGCACCCAGAAGACTACCATGATTAGGGGAACTGAGACACTCCCCAAGGCTTTGTGCCATGCAGACAGCCCTGTGGTTCCACTAGACACCTGGGGACCATTCTCTTCTGGCCCTGAGGTTTAGGAATTAGTTCTCTCTGCTCATCCCCTAGGTGCTGTGAGCATCCTGCTGGCACATGGAGGTGGGCCTTGTGCAATCTCTGCCTTGATAGTAAGGGAACATCTTATCATCATTATTGTCACTGCTGTCATCATCACCATCTTAGGCATAAGCACAGCATATGTTGTGAAAACCCGAGGTGCCAGCCCTGGGCTCCATCCGTGGCTTTGACTCATTCAAACCATTCTGTAAAGGGAGGATAATTATCCCTATTTTGCAGATGAGACAAATGAGCCTCAAAGAGCAGATGATTTGCCCAAATCCACGTGTCTGTCAAGTGCTGAGCTGTGTGTGTCTGGCCCCTACAGGGCCCTGTCTTTGGGAGCCCTTCAGAGAGTGGTCAGGATGTTGGTGACTCCAGAGGGTGGGCCCAGCGCCACTGTCACCGTGGGTGTTTGAAGAGTGTGAAGAGTGCTCAGGGACACATGGAGTACCAGTATTTGGTGGCCAATGAGCTACAAGTGAATTTTTTATAAAATGTAATAAGTCATTTGAAGCAGTCAAGATTTATCCACTTAGAAATTCTTCCCAGCTGGAATTCTGTTCTCTGACTGCTCTAGGGGATAAGCAATACTGACCCAGATGGTTCTGCCCACAAAGCCCCAAACATTTACTGTATGGGCTTTTTCAGAAAAAGCCATGCACCCCTGCTGAAGGCCACTTCTCTAGGTACTTCTGGGCAGGCCACTTGCCTGTGAAGTCTCTATTTGTTCCTCCGTGGAGTAAGAGAGGTGGGCCAGTTGACCTCTTATGTCTTAATTCCTTCTCTTGTAGTCTGTTTGCGTACACACACACGGTGGCAGGGGGCTCTGATTTTTCTGCCATGGTAGCTGTCAGATAAGCCAGATTTTTAGGGTGATTCTCAGGATGTGGTGAAGGAGCCAAGCTCAAGTTGAAGGGGGGAGCTCTCTGTCCTTAGCCTCCCATCCCTTTTCCCCCCGGGGTCTCCTACCACTTCTGGCCAGCACCTTCCTGGTTCTCTCTGATTCTTTTCCTGTCTCCTAAATGTAGATCCCTCCTGTTTCCACCTTGACATCAGCCTCCTACCTCTTCCTGACAGCAACAAGATCAGCCACTGCTGCTACTAATGCCACTTGTCATTGTCACTAAAAGGATGGGGCACATGCTCCGCCTGGCACCTACTGCTAGCTCCAGTCCAGAGTCCCACCTGGACAACCTTTCCTCACTCACCTGACATTTGTTGGGTCAGCCGCGGTACCAGGCATTGGGCTGGCCTCTGGTGCTGCAGTGCCGCAGTGCCGAGGCGAGCCCCAGACGTGCCCACTGGTGGGTCACAGCCCCTTCCTGAGTTGCAGTTGCTGTTCCATGAAGTCGTTTCTCCTCTCCAGGCTCTATGTTCCCAGAGGGCAGAGGCAGGTTGGAGTCATTGGCATTGACCTCTTCACACCCTGACGAGTGCCACACAGCTCGGAGAAGATGCTTAGGACGTGGGTGCCAGATGACAGGTCACACTGATGACAACAGAGTCCCTGATGTGAAACTGGGGACACCTAAGCTCTCTGTCTCTTCTTCGTCAGACCACCTGTCTTGGTGCTCACACCTACCACCTCTCTGGCAAGGAAGGTGGGAGCCGTGTAAGAGTCCCCCTGAAGAGGGAGGTTGTGAAGTCAGGGGAGAACTGGAGAGGCCTCACTTGGTTTGAAAGCCAAAGGGCAAACGTCTCAAAATATTGTTTCCCCTCAGAAACTCAACCAGAATAATCAAGGATTGTCATGGAACAACTTTATTATCCTGCAGGTGGCCAAATGTAATAATAGAGAAGAAAAGAACATGTGAGCAATGTTGCAAAAATATTTTGAAAGGTTTCTTTTTTTTGAAAATTTTGTTTATTTAACTCATGCTAAGTCTTAATGACATTGGGGCATTTTCTCCAGGATCATAAATATGCTTTCAGATCCTTCCCTAGAGTCTAAAGTATATAAAGAGTTAAAACCATCTCAATGAGCTCTCTGGAGACAAGGCCTCCCCTTTTTTTCTGAGTAACCCCCTCCGTGTCTCTCCAGTGGTTTGGAGAAAGCCATTGTTGGCCGGCCATTTGCTCTGCTTTACCAGGGATAGATGAAGAGAAGTAAATTTAAGTCCTGATTCAACAGTTTGATCTATTAAAATAGGTAACTGCAGAGCGACCATTTATACAGAGTCAGTGGAAATCAGGGTAGCCTAGAGTTTCAATCTGAGTTTCAATCCACCGTATCCTTTACCAGGCAATTCCACGAGCAGCCGTGGGCAGTTTGAACTGCTGCTGCTTCTTTTTTTTTTTTTTTTTAATATTATTTTAGTTGTAGCTGGACACAGTACCTTTATTTTATTTTTATTGGTGCTGAGGCTCAAACCCAGGGCCTTGCATGTGCT